AACCAAAGACTCATCTTTTATTTACAACTTTGAGCAGGATCTTTTAGTGTTGAAACAAGAAGCAAATCCTCTCCAATTCTGAATCATCCCAATTATACTTCTCTAATAGTAAATATTGCTCTTAATACCTTTCAGTAGCATATTCTTCCAAAATGTAATTCAGTCGCTTTTCTCTTATTTTTGTACCCTATTTCAGGGACCTCATAATCTCTGACCAAACATGTACCCCAAGCCCAAAAACATCTGAAGATTTTCTCATATGTTTGTCATTAATCTAAAAATGTCTCTAACACTTCACTCCAGGCATCCCACATCAATACTGGAAAGTGAATTTGTCTTCTAAGCCTCATCCTTTCTCCATATACCTAAGAAATTGTAACCACCTACCAAACCGAATTCTCTTTTTTTCACCACCACAACCATACTAGCAAAGATGAATTATGACAAATTTATTTTAGAGAGGAATGTAACTCATGGCTACATGTGCTGGCATAAAATAGATCAAGTCCTGTTGATTGAGACTGCTGCTGTAGGTTTGCCACATAACACACTACTTCATTACCTGAAAAATCAAGGACCTGCCGGCATGCCGATCCTCCTTACCTCTTCCTTTCAACACCTATCCTGCAAGAAATTGCAGGCCCCCCTTCACATTTCCCCCTCCTTTTTTTTTTTTACAAAGGAAACAAGAGAGAGACGAGGCAGAAGGAAGAAGAGCTACACCTTCTCCTTTCACTTAAATCAAACAGAAACTTCCATCCCAGAAAGATATACATAAAGCCTTATTCAGTAATTTTACTGTAATGAGGTTTTCACAGAAATGCACGAGTAAACGGCAAAATATGCAACATTGAACGGAGGGTACTGTTTCTCAACTCACAGACTCAGCTACAACCTAGCAAGATGTTTCCAGCAGTGTAATGAATGTGTTGTGCAAAAGTATTCACCTCTGTGTGTGTGCACTCACGTGCAAATATAGCATGCAACACCTGAAAATAATTAAAAGATGGTTTAGCCATCCAAAAGGTAGTAAACAGAAAAACTATGTGTAACTTTAATTCAGCCCTCATTTTGTACTGATTATGAAGAACATCAACATTTTTTCTTACAAAAAACGCCCCTCATACAATAAATGGGCCACCGCTATAGAGCAGTCCATACACCAGGACAGCAGTTCTGTGACTGCAGATGTAAAGCCCAACTTTGTACAAGCTAACTGCTGAATGTGGCCTCCACCTGGGGTATGCTTTTAAACGCAGGAGGTGTAATGGGATTTCAGTTAAAACACTCAACTGTGAAAAAAAGACCTCACGTGAGTCTAGCTGGGACATTCAGAAAGAGAGATCTTACGTTCACTTGTATTAAATTTCACCATTTGAGCTCCTGAAATAATTTGTGCTCATGGTAATAATGAAACAATGGGGAAAGAGGGGAAAAAAAAGTATTGGCAGTACAACTGAGCAATACTGAAAGCAAAAGAATCACAACTTTGACTCTCACTCCAGATTCCACCATCAGAGGCAAAATATATGTTACTTGTCAGTACTAATGTCTAAATTCCCTAAGCCAGAGACAAGCAAAAATGTACTTTTTAAAGTGTCACAGTACACATTAATACCAGAAGTAAGATGAAAATCCCACCTGTTTTCTCTCCCATGTGTAAGTAATGTATACATGTGTGTGCACATGCCATTCTGAAACAAAAAATCAAATCTAATTTTTGGTTTATATGCTGCAAGTGAATTTTCAGTTTAAGCCAGCCTTAATTTTTAATTTTTTAACGACTTAAAATTAATTATATTGACTTAAAAAAAAAAAAAAAAAGAAAAATTTACCCTTTCTGCTTCCAAAGAAATTTTATGTTACAACTATTGCACTTAAAATGAGATATAAAATGATGAGCCAGAGGTCAACAAATGAAATATTCCACATCTGATTAACCATCACCTGTATATTCCTTCCTTGTTATACAAAACTACTGTCGTTTTGTCTGTACAGCTTTCAGGTACAGCAGCAGCTGACTTTCTCAACAGTAACAGCGGCTCCACTGCTTGCATATCAAAACAAATCTATATTATATTATATTATATTATGCCACAGCCTACAGTCAGGAAAGTGTTGAATAAACAGAATGAAACACATTTAGGCCTTTTTTTCACAGGTAAAGAAAAGACAACCAGCAGACAAGGTGAATGCTGTGAACAGATAATATTTTTTTTCACTACTGTATCTATTGAATACAATTTAATCAAACTTCTATTGATGAAACAGAAGATAAGCATAAATAATATTTGTTTTGCTAGGGACTTCATGCTTTGTCAGGAACAGAAAACTGTCCAATAGGCACAAATGTCTAAATCAATTGCGTTTCCTACAATAATTAACTTCCCATGAACAGTTTATCTTCACCAAACAGGGACACTGCTGTTTCAGAAGCAGTATAATGAGGTCAGTTTCATTAAGGCAAGTTCTGTTATATTTAACACTACAGAGATTCAGCTTTGTCTTCATGCTGAGTGGTTTTTCACTTTGTGATGGTTACTGCTTATTAGAATATATTTATATTGTTTATTAATGTGTTTTTGATGAGTGAAGGTGATGAAATTGGGAATTTAATGTAAAAGCAATAACTCCTAGAGGTGCCAATGTAATGAACTGCCTGCATGTAACAGAAATGGTAGGCATTTTTGTTTTCCGCTTTTGAGGCAAATGCTTAGATTTAATAATACTACTCCTACCAAAATTAATCTCTTTGACCATGCCCCTGCCCCCAAGATCATAAGTATCTCCAGGGCAATATAATAAGTTAACTACTATTTTGGTTTTAGTGAAGTAACAATGTTTACTTCAGGTACCTGAAACCAAGGAGGGGAAAATTAACTTGCTACAAGATAAAGAGTAATCGAGAAAAAACCACAAAATGGTGGAAAAAACATTGAAGTACTATCTTCAGAGCAAGTCAAAGGCCTGGATTTACTGAGCAACAGCTCAGCAGTAAGGGAACTAATCAAAGCCAGAGCTTTGGTAGATCTCTGTTTTGAAGATAAGCTTATCACATAGACTGTGATAGGCGAGACCATAAAGGGAAAAAAATATGTTATAACCTTTGGCTCAGTGAAAGTGCATGTATTTGCTTCTGTGCAGCTTAGGGTTCAAATTTCTTCAAATTTTCTTAATACTGGCTAACTCGCTGAAGTTACTTGAGCAGACGGACAAATGGGCAATGCAATTACATAGAACTGTTTTGTCCCACAAAACCAATCTCCAACTTTTATGGACGTATTTTAACAGAGCACATTCAGATCCTGGTTTTCTCAGTGTAGTGCTTGTAGGACCAAAACCCAGTTTCTAAACCAGCCACCTAACTTTCCCTCTTTGCAGACAAAACTAAAACCAAACCTGATCTGATTTTCCTTTTTGCTTTTTTTGCTTACACACACATAATTCAACTGAAGTTGTATCAATGTAGAATTGAAGCCAGACTCCTGTAAATGATGAGAGCATTTACCTTAAACTAACAACTAAGAACATGAAACAAAATTCTCTCATGGCTACTACTGTGTTTTGATATTTCACATCATGAACCCAACTAATTTCAAATGGGCAAAACAATGCAGTGTGTTTCCATAGAAACATGTTAGATGAGGATGTATACTAAATAGTGGCCTCTGCAAACAAGACTGCATTGCAGAAATGTGGCTTTGAAATCTATTTCAAAGAAAATGAAAAAGATTTTAAAAACAGCACCTTGGTTCAACATTTTGTTTCAAACACTAATGAATTCAATAAAACCCACAGATAACAAGATTGTCAACCGAATGCTAATACACTTATTAGTAACATAAGGGTGAAGTAGCTTGTCAACATAAATCTTGATATAAATTTAAAGCAGCTAGCTCATTCTGCTCTGGAATAGGCTTAAAAAAAATTATATATTTCTTCCTAAAAAAAATCCATCTTGAATTGACTAAGACAAGTTTCAGATATGGAATTGTAAATATCGTCTCTAGTAATTTAAGGTGCTTTCAGTCAAGACACTTATCCTCTAGAAGCTAGTTTTTATGTAACTAACTTAATTATTTGAGTTAACTCTACAAAATGGAGGAGTATGTAGAAAATCTAACCCCCCCGGGAGATGTTATCAGAAACTCTAAACACTGGCCTAGTCTTTGCTCTCATTAAAGGCAAAAGGAAATGTGCCTTCCATTTACTTAGTCCTTGAACCTCAACACTGTTCAGTGAAAACAGTATGAATTTGTACACCTGACTAGGTCTTCTCCTCAGTATTAAGAAGAATCTCAGTACTAAACCAGTATTTATCTAACAGCATATGATCCACAAGAACTTTAAACTACAGTATTATTTTAAAATCTCTCTGAAACGTAAATAATATTCAGAATATTTCTAGAAGCTTTATAGCAGTCATGGATTTTTTTCTGCAACTAAGTACAGCACGCATTTTTGCATGAGTTGTTATGCGTATATGCACATATACACAAATGTAGTGAAAAATAATTCAGTGTTAAACATCAGCTGCACTCAACTCACTGCATGTACAACCAGTATTGAAGCATAAGAATATGTTATTTCCCTACTACAGACACAGTAATGCAAACTGAGAAATATGCAGAGCTAACGGACACTTAGAAACAGACTATAGAACAGTTACATACTGTAGGACTACTTTGTGTCCATTCTTTAGTATTACACTTACTGTTAAACTACCTTTAGAAAATTAAACCAGAACAGGAAAATGTAATGAGATTAAAGTGTACTAATAGATTTTACTTACAAGGCCACAGATCAGTGGTAGACTAATTTTTTTTATTACTTCTTATACAGCATTCAGTCAGAATGTAGCTGTACAGAACATTGCAAATTGTATCAAATACATGTAAACAGATCAGAAATTTCATAACTTGGTAACAATCAGGATGAAATTTATCAGTATTTTAAACTTGTGGGTCCTTTACGTGACACAGAAATAAACAAGTACATACCCTGATCCAAAATCTCATCCTCTTCTTTTTTGTCCTGCTGCAGCAAAGAACTTTTATCAGTATCCTTGGTTTCTGAAAAATGGATTTAGGGTATGATGTTAAGTATCATATGATAGTTATACATATTTAATATTCCATATGATGGAATTAAATATCTTCCTATTGGGGTAAAAAGCCATTCTGACATAAACATCTGGTATTTTTATCTACCTATAGTAGTTGTACCAAACAGCACAGCAGTAAAACAACTGGAATTAAAACCCTAAGATTTGTACTTTACTACACAGACATACCAGTAAGGTTACTTCTGCATAATACTGCTGGTGAAACTTTGTGTTGCCTGTAGTGGTGCCTACTAGTGTTCAATATAAACATTTGATTCCTCCCAAAACAAGGCAGTGAGATCCAGAAAACTATGCAAATGTTATGACTCAGCTTTGCAGGAAACAGACAGAAGATTAAGAAACTGTTAATATAAAGTACTGATATTGGGCAGAGAAGAGAGGTCGACCTTTTGGGTACACAGCTCATGTAGCTATAAATGTTATGTTGGAAACTGAAAGGTGAAAAAATGGACAAAATACTATGGCAGACATTTCCATACATTTCCATCAAAAACAAGAGCAGAATCCCATGATGGTCTATAATTAGTGATTTGAATTTTATTCAGAACTGCATTTCCTTTTTATGAAAATTTAGCATATCAAAGCAATGCAGACAAACACACCAGTGAGCATAAAAAGACTTGGATAAAACGGATTACAAGTTTTTCACCTTCATGATGCCCATGTGCCATCTTCAGCATATCAGACTTGACAGGAATAGGAATATTTGCCTCCTGAGGTATGCTTCTGAACATCTCAGGGTTTGCATTCTGTGTGCAGGTCATGTATGAGACAGCATGCTTGGCCTCCATATAGTACATAATGTAAAAATTACACATTTCATCATTGGCTGTTCCTCTACACAACATAAAAAAGGTATGGCAGTTAGGAATAATGAGTTGAATGTTGCTGTTATTCAATTCCTCTAACTTGTTTAACAGAATATTAAAAAGTTGCAATGAAATGTTCAGAAAACTCACACTAGAACATTTAATAGCTTCACTGCAGTAAATATAAAAGGTTTTTTCAGTTTAAACTAGGGTATATCAGTTTGCACAAACTCCCCAGGTATCTCAGAAATTCCTATCGATTTGGTTTTGATTCTACCGAAAATTGCATCAACTGTTTAAACTGTTCTTCCTTCTCATTTTCCCAGTATACTCCTCATAGTCCTCAGTGAGTCATCAACTACGCACATGGTCTGATGAAATACAACACAACTGTATCATTCATTACGTCACCATTCACACATGTCTCTGTCCATCTGGGGCAAACCTAATTTAAAGTTTTTGTAAATGTCCATCTTTCATTTCAGCAGCTATCTTTTATGGCAATTTTTTTTTTTTTACTGGACAACCATATCAGTTCTGATGCAGCAAAACTTAATTTCATTACATGTTAAAATAAATATTTCTTAAAGAGAAGATAGCACTGCTGTCTTAAGAATAACTTGATCACAAGCTTCTGTAAGGAAAACGTGAGTGCAAGAGGAATGATTAAACACTAGCAAAATTCAGTTCTTTGATAAATGTTGTGCATGTACTTGAAACAGAAGAGGCTCTTCTGTACTGCTACATAATTCTGTCTTCAGCAGAAAAAACAGCTGGTATGGGAAAGATTTTTTTCCTCAAAAATACTACTTTGAGAGGCAGACAATACAGGGCCTCTTTGTAACTGTGATCTGTTCCTGGTTTTTTCCTCTGCCACATAAGTTAATACTGTTTATTTACAGCTACAGTCCTGACAATGGAATAAACTAGGACTTATAAAGAAAGGTTCACAAAAAAAAGGGGGTTACATTAAGATTTTTAATTAGCTTCCATAATTAACAGGTGAGCTCACACTCACACAAAGATACGGGGGTGGCCTATTAGCTGTTTGCAAAAGACGTCAGTGCTGACTTTTCCAGCAGCATCCTGCAGCATTCATTTATTCACCATAGCAACAATAATGACACCAGCCGGAGGGGAGACAGGAGGAACATGGGAGAAGAGACTGTTTCAAAAGGAGATTTGGTATTTTTCCATGCATTGAAAATTTAGCACTCCTTGGAGACCACAAAAATCAGACTCTGACTTGGCAAGCTCTGCGTAAGCTTTTAGAAAGCATTAACTTCACTGTTGGACTCCCAATTTCTGTCACTGTAATTGCCTCCTTTTTAAAACTCCAGTAGAAAAGGGGATGTGGAACCCACACAGATTCTGGTCCACCTGACACCTTACTGTGTCTAAACATTTCAACGCTGATAATTTAAAATATTTACAGCTAAAAAAAAAAAAAAAATAAAAATACTCTGTCAACAGTTCAGCAAATTCACAGAAAACCCAGAATCTTTCCACTGGATATGTTACTGCTAAGAAACCCTGTTTTGTGAATGAGTTTAATGAGTAGAAGTGCTAATGGACAAGCTGAAAAGGAATAAAATTTAAAAAATCCTGTTAACCACCTTCACACCACTAGCACAGATATCTAGAAACACATCCAGATCTTGGTGTATTAACAGTACCCACTGAAGCATAATGAAATACAGGACTCAGCATCAAAAAGCAAGATAATGCAGTTAAAGAACCTTAAATACTGAATGGGAGCATTTTGCTACGCGCACATTAACCTTCTCTTGAATGGTACAATACCTGTTTAAACCTGTTTTGGAAGGGAAAGGTACGGGTTGCACTATTTTCTGTCTGTTAAGTTTTAAATAGTACATCACACTGCGAATGGAAAAACAAACAGCCACCGTGGCCAACGGCACTTTCCTTTACAAAGATAGGATCTTTACACCGAAAGGGTTCCAGTTCTTTGATACCCCTTGCACTGTTAAGCTATATACTAATTGACACTGTATCAACTCTGATGTTTACCCTGAAACGTCATTAAGTTACCTGTTTTAAAACTGCATTGGCTGCTTGGATGGAGTACTTACAGCTCTGTAGCAAAAATCAGAAGAAAGCTTGCTTTATAAATTAGGAATAGTTGATGTCCTTCTTACTTGACAAAGGATAATTCAACCCTTTAATGTGCAAAAGCTTGAGCTTGAGGAGAAATCCAGCTAGCTGAAATGGATGACTTAAGAAACTTTGGAAGAGATGACTCCTGCCTCACCTCTTTATACCAGAGTCATTACGTCTGTACTCGTGTAATTACCCTGAACTTGGATGTAGTAAATTGCTCCAGCAAAATCAGGATTCATTTCTGAGCTTTGTTGCCAAACTCTGCACATTTCAGAGGCATGCCTCAATAACTTATGTAATTTCTCAGAGGAGAGGAAGCAGGATGGAAAAGGAGGCTAGTGTGAACCGTGGGGGTCATCAGATAACGTAAGAAAATGGGAAGCAGTTAGTGTAACTGAAGTAAAACATAAAAACCCAATACCAAATGTGTAAAGAAACAAAACAGCACAGTAAGGCAGGTATAAAACCAAACCAAGAACATCTATCCTCCCTCCCCAGGTTAGATACTAAGCAATAGACTTGGCCAAAAATTACATTTATTTAATATGAAAGGTACTGGTTGACTATCCCAAAAATTATTACACAGTTAAGAAAAGTATAACACAGACAATATGTTACAGTTAGCATATATGATGAATGGTTAAGCTTTAACTTATCAGCTTTGGAAAGATGAATGAACAAAGTAAACTCCAATCCTGCTTTAGCCCTGCCTTCTTCTGTATATTAAAGATAAATCACGTAAGGAATTTAAGATCTTTTTTAAGCTGGTTTAAAAAAAACCCAAACAAAACAAAACAAAACCACAGTTAGAAAATTAAATACAGAGACTGGGAAATTGAACATGTAGAACTGATCTGATCCTTTTCAGGTACGTATTATTTCACAGCTTTCCTTTCAGGTCTGCATTTCCCATTTTTTCAATGTCTATATTTGGAACTCAAAGGTTCTTCTAGCATTTCTTTTGGACTGAGGAGGCATTCTGAATGGCCACAAGACAACTGCAACATCAGGGCAACATTTTCCAAGATTTAAACAACTTTAATTTATTTCAGCTGTACATCCTTCCATATACTCCGTACTGTTGTTGTCCTAGTTTTGGCTGTGACAGAGCTAGTTTTTCTCCTAGTAGCTGGTATAGTGCTGTGTTTTGGATTTAGCATGGGAATAAGGTGATAGCACACTGATGTTTTGGTTATTGCTAAGCAGTGCTTATACTAAGTCAAGGACTGTTCAGCTTCCCATGCTCTGCCACGAGGAGGTGCACAAGGAGCTGGGAGGTAGCAGAGCTGGGACAGCTGACCCAAACTGGCCAAAGGGACATTTCATACCATACGATGTCATGCTCCCATTTTGGGAGCTCAATATATAAACAAGGGGGACTTGGCCAGGAAGCAGATGGTTGCTCATGGACTGGCTGGCCGTCAGGTGATGAGCAGATGTTTTTCCTGGGTTTTGTTTCTCTGTTTTTGTTGGTTTTAATTCAATTCAATTATTATTACTATTATTATTACTATTTTCCAGCACTAAACTGTTCTCTTGAGCTTTCTTAGTTTTGCCCCTCTGATTCTCTCCCTCATCCCACTGGTGGCAGGTACGGTGAGCGAGCCGCTGTGTGGTGCTAGTTACCAACTGGGGTTAAACCACAGCTGCTGTGAATGCATTCTTTTTCATCCATCATTTCGTATCATAGCAATAATTATTTTCCAACTATATATACTTTTATATTATGCATCAGTTTTTGTGTAATAGTTTAAATATTTGCTTAAAATGCTTTATGCGTTATTTCTCAAAATGCATAGGTAGAAGTTATGTAATAAAAATGTAAAGCTCTGCTGCTTTTTTTTTGAAATTTCTGTTCCGATTACTTCCCCATTGAAACCATATTCGTACATTGCAAGAGAAGACTGATTGTCCTAAACTGTTTCTTAAACTGTAAGGATAAGTCAACAAACAGGAACTACTTTGGGGAATGATACAGAAATGTGACAGAAACTTTTACAACTTGAGAAAAAAAGTTTACATTTAAATCAAGGTTTTGGATATACATTTGTTAGTGTTAACGACCATTGTAAAAACCTCTTCTCAAACAGTTCATTTTGCTTCAGCTGCTACTCATCAGTATTTTAAATACCAAGTGAGAGGTGGTAACTTTCTGTTGGACACAACCTTCTACTGAGATGCAACCTTAGGGTTCTCAGCGCACTAAAAGACTTGTCCCTTGGAGTGCTTTCATAATTCCAGAATGGAGAGATTTCTGCAGAGTATCTTCATATCTCTACATTTGCAGAACATTACAGTTCAGAGAACTGGAGCCAGTTAAAAGAATATTAATATTGCATCTATTTTTTGAATTGCATTTGTCAACGTGATCTTATAGAGCTTTGTCATCTTTGGCTGGGTAGCATCACTGAGAAACACAGTTCAGATTTTCCTATTTATTAAGGTTAGTAATTTATATTTTTATTATTTTTCATTAAGGCTTGTATATTTTTATGTGGGACAAAATATAAATAGTATATTTTCCCAAATTTTTAATGTTTAAGAGAAATTGTGAACCTTTATTATTTTGTTTTTAACAGTCAGTAACTTCAACTTACTAAAAATACATATTTTAGAATGATATTCTGAATCCTTCTCAGAGTGCAGAAAAGCCCAACATCTGAGTAAGGTATCTGGTAGCACAGTTTCATCTGAGAAATATTCTGAACACTTCAGCAAAGTGACTATTCACATAAGTAAAAGCAATGAACATTGTGTAGAATTAAATCTTTAGCAGACTAGACAGCAAAACTGACCATTCTGGCAGAATTTAACAGTTTGTTAGAATTACTGTGGAAGAAGACATAAAAGAAATAAATTTCTACACATAACCAATACCTTGGGGAAAAATAGTTAGGAAATGGAGATACAGAAAATTTACCCTATATGTGTCTCTGTAGTTCTGCCTTCACCACTGAACACACATCTGGCTGCTAGGATATCGTCATAGCTAACATCTACAGGATGTTCTACAGGATAGAATGCCTGAAAGAGAGGGTGATTCACCGTAATCAGTGAAAGTGTCTCATATTATTTATGTCAATATACACATGATGTTGACAGTGCTACACATCTGAAAAATAATTTCAGAATGGTTTTCGCATAATGTAATGATGATAAAATTTGGCAGTATTCACTTTCAGTGACACAACACGTACCAGTGGAAATACCACAACACAAATCCCTGGGTACGTGACTGCCAATTCAGTTTCTAAGTTTTAAATGAAGATAATTAAAATATATATTTAGAATTAAAAAAACAACAAACCTGTGGTAGCTGTGGGCTCTGTCTACCAATCAATGTCCATTGACCATTTCTCACTCTGTATCCACTCACTACTTTACCTGTAACATATAAATATGTATGTGAACATGAGACATACTTCTAAAGAATGATGTAATGTCAGAATTTTTCTGTTAAGTATTTGATATTTCTATGTCACAATAATACTCTTACCTAGTCTGTGTGTGTGAACTCTGTAGGCAAAAAGGTGCATTGGAAACCTTTTGTAATGGCAGGCAATGTCTGCATCAACCACTGTTAGAATATGATGGCAATAAACAAAGAAAAACATGTTATTTATCAAAAAGAAGAAAGTTACACTGCTGTACTTCATTCAGTGTGGTTTACAAAAGCTGTACCTGCACTGCATAACAGACAATTTCAAAATTACTGAATAATATGTTTCTGCAGTGTCTATCTCAAGACATTTGTATGGAAAACCTAGAAAAATATAGTAAAAGTCACTTGAAAATTACTTGCTGTGATGATGTACATAAAACATGAGGCCGAAACTCAGCAGTGTTTTTTCCAGCACGCACTCCTGCTATTTAACAAAGTAATACCTTTGCTTACAGACTATGCTGAAGGACACTTAAAATAATCATAGCTATGCTAAATAGTCTACCCAAGAGAAAATTAAAATAGCTGATAAAACTCTAAACTGATAGAATCTATAATGAAGACTTGACTGTACAATCTTACAGTTCTAGGGCCAGTCTTAAAGATTTAGGGTTAGATGCAGACTGTGGCAGAGAAGTGCTGTACAGTGTCTGCAGGATAGTACTTCTGTTAGGTGTGGTAACGGCAGCAAAGGAAGAGCCTACAGAGAAATTCCTCTGCTGATGCCTCTCCAAGAGGCACCTGGGGAGCGGCTGAGAACTTCACGCTTCACTTACGCACTGCAGATTCGACTGAACATTAAGAAGGCAGTTATCAACAGGCACAGAACTGTTTTTATTCTTCTTTTCCTCACCCCTCCAGCTGAAAAAGTAAATTTCTGCACTGATCAAATATTCTGAGGCAGGAGGGATTCGTTTGATATACATGATGGTTTCTTATCACAATCCACAAGCTTCCTTCCCTTTTTTTCTGACCCTCATCCTCCACTGGAGGAGGGGGAAGGTGAGCAAGTGGCTGAGTGGTACTTTATTGATAGCCAAGGTCAAACCACGACAGCATGTTTTCCTATTGAAGAGCAAAATATGTTAAATTTCAATTCAAATTAAGAATAGTTTCAACTTGGTGGATTCACCAAGCAGCTGGAGGTAGCTGAGCATTTGACCACCTCATCTTATTTAGGCAGCTACCTGGGACAAACAGTGTTCACGGATATCTGATTTAAAATTCCAGTACAGCATGGGAAAATGTAAATTCAGTGTTAAATGTCTTTAAACAGAACACTCCATTCTAGCTTGAACAAATTATATTGGGACTATCCAAGCTGAGTTTCGAATAAAATCCACTGAGCAGGATTCTGAAGAGAAATGGCTTGGAAACTTTGCTTTACAACGTTTTCCCAGCATTTTGATCTTTTAACCAACTAAGAGCATAGGAATGAAATTTTTAAAGAGCAGATGCTTACTGGAAAAAATTAAATTATTAAAACCGAACTCTTAGTAAATCACAAATAGCATAAACGGTGACTGCAGATGAAGATGAGTGCAAAAAATTTCAGGATTTTTTTTTGTGGGGAGAGGGAGAGTAAGAAAATAGGTAGGACTTTTTAGGTAAAATAGTAAGGTGAAAATAAAGAAAAGAAATACTCCTAAGAATCCCAGAAATTTCAGTATTTCACAGATCATGATTGTTTCGTACTACATTGCTTTCTACTAAACTGATTGCCTTTGCCAATGTAGTCATCAGGAAATATGATACCATTTAAAAATTATAACTTTTTTTCCATAATCTGTTTAATTAAGCAATTAATTGAACCATCTACAATTCAGCAAGTCTCTGCTAAATTTTCTTCCACAATGAGCAGTAAAAATAAATCAGGTGCTGAAATTACATAATCACTTTGTAGACTTACAACTCACCTTTCTCTCCTGGTGGTATTACAGTGTTCACAGACATCATAAGATACATTCCAGCAATCAAAGGCTGCCTGTAATTCAAAACACAAGTTCTGCTGAACAAGCCCTTTTGTAAAACCTGACTGCAAGTGACGTGATATGCAATACCACTTAACACCACTAATTTCTAAATGTTGGACTATGTCTGAAACTGGTCTGCTGAGAAAGAAGCTCTTACACAGCACTTCCTTTTCCCTCTTTTTATTCAGTGAGATACAATTTTTAAAGCACCTTCTACAAAGTATGTGAAATAGGACAAAATGATCTTCCACGTAATTGCTGTCTTTGTCCCAGATGTCTAAATATGAACCTCTTAAGATGGATTAACTCAGTACTGATAGCACTGTTTCATCAAGCTTCTTAGCGGGAATGAGATTTTTAGCCAACAGATGACACATGGCTTCAGAATTCTCAATACTGTGAAACAGGTATTATTCTTATTTCACATGGTTTCAAAGGAATCTAAAGGAGGGTTTCCATGCCTTCTGTTCTGATGAAAAAAATAATAATAGCCAAGTATTTTTAATGACACTTACTTTTGATGTGTCAGATGTAAAGTTACACCAGAGCAGTCCTTGTGTTTATCTGTACAAAACACAAAACAGATTAATCATTAGCAACTGAATCCAAGCAAAATTATTCCACATTAGTAACGTTCTTCTGCTGTACAAAAAATACTAGAAGGCAAAATAAGTTTTAAACTTACTGTCTGCAGTAAAAGTTCCATGCTGTGGAAACACTACTCAAATTTGCACAAACCTGAACATCACAGTGTTTCATGTGTCGCAAAAACCTAATACAGATCAAAACTCTGGTGGATGACAAACTAACTTTTTTGACACTAGAAACTGCCGATCTTTATGAACTAGCATCTGGGAGACAAAACTATCATTTTCACAATAGCAGAAAAAGTTGGTTTGCTTCAAACAAATTTGTATTTTGACAAAAGTTAGAAAAAGGAAAGATTTGTGGAAAAGCAAGGATTTAAAGAATTAACAATGAAGCACTCCGAAATTATTGTAATAAAGTCAACATGTGAATTTGAGATACCAATACAGACAGTGGTTCTCTTTAACATTAGATATCCTAGAAGGGCAGTAAAAACAATTAATTTATTTGTTAATGTACTGTATCAGCATTATCTAGTATGTTTGACATTTTAAACTAAAGATGCTATTGTCTTGATAATTATTTAGTTATAGCTGGTGATCTGTGAGTTTAAGCTTCGTTCTTTTTCAAGAAAGTTTCCTTTTCTTATGTTTATACCAAAAATAGCTGTGGTTAGGAGACGGATATAATTCCAAAGCATGTAAACAGAAAAAGCTGAAATAATACCTTCTAACAGTATAACATGCCAGAATACATTTTTCATAAGACAGAACAGAGTAGCTATGGATCTACTGACAAGTGGTAAACTGGGAGAGATTTTCCTCTCGTCAGTAGCTAGATTCTGAACTGAAGCAAAGCAGTGCATTTGAACAGGTGAAAGGATAATGACAACAGTGGGACAAAACAAGGAGACTTTACAGATTAAAAAGTATCAGTTTAGTTTTTCATACATTAGCTAGTTTAGTCACATCACTTTTCATTATTAAGGGATAATATTCCTTTTGGTTTTACCACCACTGATACTAGAACTTTCAGTATGTTCACAAAGTAGACAGTCACTATTTTTACAAAATGTATAAATCAGTACATATGTTATAAAAGTGAAAAAGTTGCTAACCCTATTGTTCTAGGTTCTCAAAATACTTATCATCATGGCATCTGAGAATTCCATCCCTGTGTCCCACCGAACACTTCTATATTTAAATTCTGTATAGAATCATAGAATCATAGAATCACTAGGTTGGAAAAGACCTTAGAGATCATCCAGTCCAACCGTATCTGTCCGCCACTAAACCATATCTCTCAGCACCTCAACTCACAGTTGTATCTTTACAAATAACGACAAAAAAGGAAAGTCTTCACTGTATAAGCAAAACAAAACTTAGAACAGTAGCTCCTTCATTCACACTACCCACTACTGTAGTTGCATTGAATGTTTGGAAAGCCTGCCTCATGAGAATTTTTTGAAACCAAATGTGATGAATCAGAAGGAAAGCAGCTGAAAATTCAATTAGTAATCCAGAAAAAAACCAGCACACCCATATTCAACGCAGATGGAATTTCTGACTGTCTGTGTCAAACTACATGTAATATTGCCTCAAACACAGAGAATTCGGAACCTCCATTCCATAAAAAGGATTGAATATGGCTTTGGCAGAGTACTGGCTTGCAGTTGTAGCAGAAGGATTTTAAGACTACATACATATGCACAAAAATGCAGAGCTAGTCAGCCAGTTATTGCTGCTGTATCACATTATTTTTCTCTCATTTCAGTCAAATAAACAATGTATTGTAGAAAGCAGATTTTCAGTATAATAACATACAATCTTCTGTATAATTTTTATGCAGACATGCATCTTTGTACATAAAAATACTAGACACTGAAAAATTAATCTAAAATTTCAGAAAAATATTCTCTAAATTACAGACTCTAAAGCACATTTAAATATAGTCTTCAATTTTTGTTTTAAAGTTACTTCTTTAAAAAAAAAAGATCTTTCCATATACACATTCACCACATGGTAAGTCATTTGCAAGGGGGTGGCAGAGACAGATAAAGAGGAGAAAAGATTTAAAAACACGAAAAGGACAGGACTAAATAAAAGACTAAGTTGGAGCAGACAAAGGAAAAAGGACAAATTCAAGATATGGTCAGCACTGGCTACAGATGGAAAGAAAAACTGAAGTTATGCCATGCCAGAATACACACTAATTTTCAGTCACAGATAACAAATGTTGCTTTTAAATGGCCAAGTCACAAATCCAAAAGCACCAGAGAGACTAAGCTAATAGGAAAAAAGTAGGAGAATGGCAGGAAAACATTAAAGAGAAATTAAATTATCTGTCCATGGTTTTAGAAAAAGTTCAAGAATCATAGAATGGTTTGGTTTGGAAGGGACCTTAAAGACCATACAGTTCCAACCCCTCTGCCATGGGGAGGGACACCTTCCACTAGACCAGGTTGCAATGCATATACTGTTCATCCTTCTCTGTTTGTAGCTGTATGAAGCTTCACTCACTATTTCAATACCTTTATGTTTCCTATAAAGGTGCTCGTAAAGTCTCTTTTGCCACACCTGCTGCATTTCAAAGTATTTCAAAATTTTTTTTGACTAGATTTACGGCTATTTGTATTAACACAGCTGATGCTGCAGAACTCAGCTTTGATAGAATTAACATTGTTAGAAAGTTTGCACTACATCAGTTTTAATGCAAGTTGGGAAACGCTTGCTTTGGCTCAGAATAGAAAGGAACCTTACTACTTAAAATAACAAAATTCAGAATTTAAAAACATAAAATGGAATTGGTAGTTTTGTGTCTCTCAGTTTTGCAATTTGCCGTTGAAAACATTACCATTCTGTCTTTAAACAGTGCTGAAAAACTATCCCAAAAAAATAAAACCGAACCTGTCATATGCCAAACATGAGTCATGTTTGAAAAATCTAACCATTATTTTGTCACAGTGTCTCTTTTAAAAATAGCACAGCAGGAGGAGGGAAACAACTCCAATGTATTTCAACTTGTCCATATTAAAGTGTTTTCAGACTATTTACATTTTCAGAGTATTGAAAAAAGTTTCTTTCAGTATTTTAATCTAAATTAAGCAATTTCAAAAAGAACTGAAGAGATTGGGAAAGTTATGTACTACACAAGGTGATCATATTAATCAGCATGGGGAGAAACATAAATCAACTTCTGACACAAGATTCTGATCTGCATTGCTCTGTAAAGAGTAAAATAATGCATGGATGCACTGGTCTAGACTTTTAAGAAATTCCTAGTGTGTGATAATTTTGTCTGTGGTTATATTTAGGCATGACTGAGCTAAATATTCTCCTAACAATTTCAGAAGTACGTTGAAAATGTTGTTTCCTGGCTTCTCCTTCCCTACAGCTCAACTCCTTGAAATAGTCAAAGCTTCTGAACCCTCCACTAAAGAATGCTGACTGCAGTAAGGCCATACCAGTTCCCCATGCATAATCTTTTTGAGATCTGTTGTGTGACCTAAGCAAAAATATCCTTAAATGATGCACAAACCAAACAAAATCTTAAAATCGCCTTTCCAGTCTGAAAGTCCAGCCTACATACTTAGTCACCCATTCAGCACATACAGAATCACAGAAAGGTTTGG